GGGGCATGTTCCTCTTGGGAAACTGTTGCTTGACCAAATCCCCTGCAGCCTGGAAGCACAGAAAGGTGGAAGTGTGGGAATTGCAGTTCTGGCTCCCTGATGGCACAGAGCCTTCAGCTCACTCTGGTCCCAGGGTATCCCTCAGGGACTGGCCTGGAGATACTTAGTTCTCCATCCTTCAACAATATTAAGGTGGTTGGTTGTTGCTCTGTCAGTTAAAATTTCATTTTTCTTTTAATTTCTGTCTGTGGTCTCCATTGTGTTATCACAGAACCATAAGAAGATTTTTTTTCCTTGTTTGAATGGAAATCTGAAGCATTTTGGAGAGAAGAGAGCGTGTGGCAGCCTAGCAGCAGCAGCCTTGGTGAAGCAGGTGGAAAAATATTAGCCTAGGAGTTTTGAGGGGAGTTTATTACCTAACACATGGATAACAAACCCTCCAGTAAACCCTTGCTGATGGCAAGGAAGATAATGAGTTGTGTTACCTGTGGTCCAGCAGGTAGGACAGGTATAGAGTCAGGAGGGAAAGTGAAATGCTTACAGGGATGAAGAAGTTACATGAGGAAAGACAGCCCTGATGGACTGAAATTAAGAATATGACTGGCCTCAGTCTTCCAGGGACTCAGTGCAGAGATGTGGATCTTGTTTAAAAACAAACAAAAAAAAAAGATAGTGCCTTTGTTATGTAGGTCTTCATTACAATTTATTTCAAGACCAGAATCAATCCCATTGATCAGCTGGTCTGGTCTTTAAATTAATGCTATAAATCCCACCATTTCTGAACAATGTCCCTTATACTGATTGGGCTAAAGCAAGTTTCACCAGAGAAAGGCTCTTTTTGTGTTTCTGCAGCTTGTGAACCTCAGTGGGTTTAACCAGCCCCTGCCTGGGGCACTCACTCGCAGAGCAAAGACAAAGCGTATCAAGGTCTATTCCTAATAAAAAGGCACTGCAGCCCAAATCCTTGGCTGCTATAAAAGGATACAGGACAATCCAAGAGGGCACAGTATGTAGCCTGGAATATGTTTGATTTATCTGTCCCCAGAGGAAGATGGTATTACTCACCACACTTTCCATGGTCAGATTTATCTGGGAAGAAGTGGCATGGAAGGACCTGCATGTCTGGGGTTAACAACAAGGTGCCAAAGGCATCGCCCAGAGCAGAAACTTCCTAAACTGCAGCCAGATAAATCTGTGTGGATATAGGCAGAGAAGGATATCTCTGTACAGCCCTGATGCTTTCACATTTCCCTGAAGATCCACGCTTGGCTACTGTCTGTGGCAGGATGTTGGGCGAGACAGCCCTTTGCTCTGACCCAGGGCGGAGGTTCCTCTGTTTTCATAGGAGTACAATGAGAGCAGAGGGAGCTGCCTGTCCTGTCCCCCTAAGAGAAATCCAGTCAGTGCAGGAAACACCCATCCGGGGAGGCATCCTGCCCTCCTTCTCACGGTAACTCAGGTCTGGAGGTGGGGTAAAATATACTGATTTCTGGCATGGTCAGTCTGGCTGGGCACACCAACTGCAGCATGGGAATGAGGGGAGCTGAGCTTCAAGGGCCAGTGGACTTTTGTCACTGTCATAGAACAGGAAAGTGTTGTGACAAATCGAAGCACTGCATGATAGTGACTATTGCTCTTTGGGTTAAAAGAGTGACAATAAACCTGAGACACTGAGTGCTGTGCTGATTACAGATATGACTGATCACTGCCTTGTGACCTTACACTCCAAAGCACACAGTAGAGAAGAAAAAAGTCATGTATAAAATCATTCCCAATGTCCAGAAGGGAAATTAAGGCACAAAAAAAATTCACTGATTTTCATGGGAGAGATAATACCTGAGATGTGACAGTCTCTGTGACAAACACTTCTTGCACCAAAAAACAGAAGGACCATTTAACTGCTTTGGACAGATGAGATGATGAGATTTAAATCTGTGGATTTAAAGAATGTTAAAATGCTCCCACTGTAATTAAGATGGCCTTGGGAAGGGGCTTCTCATCCTCTGAAATATAGAGGCTATATTGACTGCCTGCAAATTCTAAGCAGGACATACCATACCAGCTGCAACATAAAGAAAGGGAAATCTTGGAGACCTGGTCACAAGTAGGGCCTGTTGCAGCAGGATAAAGGGTCATAGTTTTAAATTAAAAGAAGGTTGATTTAGACAAGATATAAAGAAGAAGTTTTTTCCAGTGAGGGTGGTGTGGCACTGGCACATGTCGCCTGGAGTGGATGCCCCATCCCTGGAAACATTCAAGGCACCTTGAGTAGCCTGGTCTAATTGAAGATGTCCCTGCTCATCATGGGGGTTTTGGACAAGATGACCTTGAAAGATTCCTTCCAACCCAAACCATTCAATGATTTTAAGTATCAAAATCAGTGGGAATTTAACAGAATGAAGACCTAGTACCGTAATGACTTCTGGGAAAAAAGCCACAGTGGCAGGAATGAAGTTGGTCTCTCGAAAGTCAGTCTTGTTTGTGTACTTGTGGGAATTCAGCACATCTGGATGAAAAGAATGTGCACCACTCAAAATACAGAATCATAGAATCATTTAGGTTGGAAAAGGCCTTTAAGATCATTGAGTCCAACCACTAACCCAGCACCACCAAGCCCACAATTACAACATGTCCCCAAGTACTACATTTATACATTTTTAAAATCCCTCCAGTGATCACTTGCATGGCAAATGGGTTGTTGTGCTCTGGTGTCAGCTGGACTTTTGTCACTCAGGGCAAATCCACAGCATCAGCAGACACTTCGGCTCTTCTCCTTAAAAGACCCTCTTGAAGTGGTCTTTTACGGATTGGGTTCAGTCAGTACATCCTTCCCACCTTCCTCTTCTTCCCCCCAGTCTGGCTGCATCACTCAAAACTCTTCTCACGCCCTGTAGTGTTTTCGTCTGATCACTTGCTGAGGTTTCTACTGTCTCACCATGTCTGGGTACAGCCCTTATTTCCTGCTGGCTGCAAAGGAAGCAAGTTTGCCACTTTCTAACCCTACCTCTGATCCTGAGACTATAGCACAGCCAGACTCCATCACAGAAACTCAGTGAAGGAAATGACTTCACATCGAGGAGATGTTTTGCAGGTGTTCACAGTTCTGGCAAAGAGTTTGTAGGAGTTTATACATATTCTACATGAGAAATCTGTATGCATAAATAAAGAGGGACACGTTGCTTTAAATTGCTTTCATGCTACAATAGTGAGGTTTATTAAAGACACAAAATAATTTACATGTTTTCCATGATAACTGTGATGCCAGTTAACAATATCAGAGGGATTGTGAGATGCAATTTGAAACAAAACATGAGGACTTTTTAAAGGAGGGTTAGTTAAACTCTTCATCAGCGGAAAACTGCTGCTGTTGGACAGAGCAGTCTCTATTCAAAATTAGAGAACGCAGAGTGATAAAATCACCTCCTTCCTGCTCAGTCACAGTGCAGCTTTTCCAGTTCCACTGACAGAAAAAAATGACATCAACTAATAAATTGAAGGTTAAATTAGATCTGTCTCAGTGAGGACAGGACACCTGGGGAAGTTTCAAGCGTGCATCCCCAGAAATGAAGGTGACTGCATCCAGAAGACAAGGCACTGCATGGGGGGAAGGCAGGTGCAGGTATTACTCTCAGCAACAATTCTCTCCTAATGGCTATCTGAGAAGGTGTCTTTGTTCTGTAAGCTCCTGTGAGCCTCTCCCACTTGGCAAATCTTCCTGTGCTCATATAATTTCCCATTTTATTCAGGGGGGAAATGAGGGATGAATGTGGATCTGTCCTCCTGCAGGTGGGAACCAGAGGACAAAGGCACTTCTGTGGCTGTGGTCACAGGGGGCTCTTGCAGCAGCTCCCAGATGTCCCCTCTAGTTAGGTCTGAGGAGGTGTGAACTGTCCTTTGGCCTGTCTGCTCTCTTTCCTGTCCTGGGCTTGTCTCACCCAGCATTACTGGATACTCCACAGCTTTACTGTCAGCACATCTGGCTGTCCCCCAGCTCTCTGTGCATCCTCAGAGGAGAGGGTCTCCATGGAACTTAGCAGTGCAGGGAACTGTGGGAACACCCTTCACAGCCCCCTCTTTCCCACCATCTCAGCCAGGGGCTTGCTGAAAGTAAACCATGATCGTTGCATTTTGGCTTGGTCCCTCTAACTCTGGAAATTGTCAGGAGAGACTCCTTGGGCTCTGCAGAGTCTTGATGAAGCCATTTCCCCTCCAATCCCTGGACGAAAGCAGATGGTTCTACACATTAATGTGTTTCTCTCTTTTTTCTTTTTTCGAGGAACTGTCACTTGTGAGGCAAAATTTTTTTCAGGAAAATAACTCCAATTAAGCAAAGCACTCAAATACCTGCTTAACTGTAAAAGCCCACTGATACTGAGCAAAACACTTAATCATGAGCTTAAGTACTTGGCTGAGTCAGGGCTGAATATGAATTCACCCTAATTTCAAGGTGGTGATTTGGATACTCATTTCCATTTCTTCGGCCTTAAGACATTTTTCTTTGACTGTTATTCCTGAATGACCGGAGTAAAAATAACTAATGGAGGGAGAGTGGGAGGGTGAGGTGGTGGCAATGGTGGTAACTGCATTTATGTTACTGGGAAGGAGTTAAACCCCAGGTGAATAAGGAGGCTGTTACAGAGGAGGCAATGCCTTTGTGAGCCGTTTCCACCCCCCAATGACTGCTTAGCCCATGTGCACTTTGTACACGGAGAAAAGGTCACACAGCATGAAAAGCTCATGAGGAAGGGAAACTGCATCACTTATTTTACCAAAGAGTTTGCTATTGTAAGGCTGTGCACTAGGTTTCTACAGCAATAATGCTTTGAACAGCACGAGGAGAGGGGATTAAGCCTCATCTGCCCAGAGAAGTCAATGATTAGGAGCATTAGAGGGTGAGATCAGATTCAGGACCGATTTACATCCTCGGCAACGCTGGAGGTACCAGGGGTGTGAAGCTGGGGGAGAATTCGGCCCCTCCCTGCCTGAGCTGTGGAGGGAGCTCAGTAAGTCTCGCACTCGGTGGTGGCAGTGGAGCAGATGTCACAGTCACACCGGATGGCCACGGGGTAGGTGTAGAAGGGATCCACGTCAGGGGCACACTTGGGCAGCTTCACCGTCACCATCTTGGTCTCGTTGTAGGTGCAGATCCGGTGGTGGGACTCGATGTAAGGTGGCTCCAGGATCGGTTTCTGTGGGGGAGAAAGGATGGCCTCGGGCAAGAGGCGAGACAAACATCTGGAGTCCCACCTTCCTCAGGGGGATTTAGTGTAAATAGAGGAGCTACTGGATCAGGTGGAAGGGGATATGGAAATAATTTTTAGGCTGCATCCTTCAACACTTGCCTTTTGGAGCCCCACCCCAGGGGGAATGGGGGGTGGTGTATCTGCGTGTTTCAGTTTGTTTAAAGCATAAAAGCTCAAATTAAAAACTGCTTGAAGGAAGACAAAAGATTATCCAAAAACCTGGTTTTCAGCAGACTACAAGTGTTTCGACCAAATGCTGCCAAAAGCAGCTGCTTTCTTCCAAAAGCATTGATTTTCCATTAAACACATTCTGCTGGAAACCCCTCCATGTGCACAATCTGCCTAAGAGAAGGGGTGCATCCAGGTGCCAAGGGCTGGGTTTTTTCTCAGCCAGACCAGTCTTCTCAGTCAGGTTGCATGTCTCACAAAGCTCAATGGGTGTACAATGTGAGGAAAGCTCTCAGCACAGCAGCCAACAGAGAAGCCTGCAGTTCCTCCTGAAAAAAAGCTTGGCCAGAGACCTCAGCCATCAGGAGATGATGGGAGCATGAAGGCCTTGAAACCCACACTGTCATGTGGTATCACAGTGGCATTGCTTTTGCTGAAAAATTATTTTTTTCCCTAACAGGGACACCCATTTTCCAAAGACTCCAAGAAGGGGCAGCGCACACAGCAGTGGGAGTCCACTGTCATCCTCTCACTTGCACAGATGGGAAACAGCATAAGATAACACAGCCAGGAGACACTTTAATTTCTTTCTTTCACTCTCTGCTGCGTAAAGAGCCCTCCCTGGAAAACAAGAATGATGGTATGGAAGAGAGCAGATGCAACATCTCATCAAGAAGACATCCAGACACCCTCCCTCTTACAAACTCCCCATCCAAGCACACTGTGCTGCTTCCTAGAAGCTGTTGAGCCTACATCCAGATGAATTCAGCTGAACTACACCCCAGTGGTATTGTAATACACTAAGAGAGTCTGAAAAGTCTGTGCTGCCAGAGGAGCTTGGGGGTAGGGGAAATCAGATGTCAAGAGGTCCCTCGAAGGAGCCTTATCCCACCATGGAATCTGGTCACTGGTGGCCTTCCCTCTCGTCTCACCAAGTCACAAAAGGAGGGCAGTCAGAGCTGTCTCACAAACCCTGGCTCCTCCTCTGGTCACCTATGCAGACCTTGCCCTCATGTAGCAAAATCTCTCTGAGTGGTTCAAGGCTTCCCTGAATAAATTAAACTGTGAGCCTTCCAGTGACAGAAAGGCAAAGACAGTCAGAAATCTGTTCTCTAACCTGAGTGTAGATGTGCTTATGCTCTTTCTTCCTCCTTCTGTACAACCCCAAAACTTAAATACTTCATATTTACACAGCACCATGACTTAAAACAGGACCAAATTAGAAATAGACATTATGTTTGGGATTTCCTTTTTGGAACAAAATATATCACCCATCAATCGGGAGCTCCATCTTAATCTCAAAGGAATTTTTTTTTCAAGTGAAAAGTAATAAAGTCCTCCTCTCTTGAAGTGTTCAAGCTGTAAGAGGCTTTCAGATTGTATGTAAGAGTTTTACATAAGGGCTTCATTGATGTCATCACATGACGTCCATCCCCCTTTGGGGCAGGGGAAGGAGGGAGGGAACAACCGACCACAAACGCTGCTGTGCGTGGTAGCAAGGGGGTCATGGAGTGGGACACAGCCCTTGCCTGTTTAGTAGATACCTACAAGCTATTTAATGTTGGGTGGGTTTATGTGGAGGGATTTTGGGGGGGAAGGAAGCAGCAGCCAGGGATGTCAGTGCCCACCGTTGCAGCCTCACCTCCCAGGTCTCGCAGCGCCCCCAGCACGCGTCCGTGGTCACCCGCAGCCCCCGGCACCCGGGTTTCTTGGCCAGGAAGGTGAATTCCCGCACGGCACAGCCGATGAAGGTCCTCAGGTCGATGGCAGAGGTCTTGAGTGTGCTGCCACAGCCCCCCAGCAGCAGGAGAAGGAGAGCGCCCAGGACCACGCAGTGGAGCTTCATGCTGAGGCAGAAGGGAGAGCAGTGGAGGGCTGGGAGAGCCAGCACGGTCCAGGAAGCAAGAAGGGCAAGTGGGCAGGCTAAGCTGGAGCTGAGACACCCCTTCCTGCCTTTGGACACACTGTTCCCCATCATCACTCAGCCTGAGAGAAGATGGGCAGACGGAGGAATGGGGGGTCACCTACTCCCAGGAGTGGGGAATCTTAGTAAAAAGTTCTGCCACAGAAAGCAGCAGAGTAAAGACTTTCCCTGCAGAGCAGTGGGAGTTTGCCTGGAAGAGATAAAGCCACTAGCCAGTGCCTCAGCCCCACTGAAATCTCCATATTGCAGGGTTGCTTTGCAGCAGATGTCTTTCTACCAGCCCTTTTGGGTTGCCCTGAGCTCACACAAGGCCAATAGCTGACTAGTTAGGAGCCAAGCATCTCTGAATTTGTGCTATAATCTCAGCATCTCCCAAAAGTGTTACTGGAGCTGCCATTGCCAACACCCTGAGCACTGCACTCGTGCTGTTCATCTCCCAGGGCTGCAGCCAGGGGGGCTGTTTGTCCCTTTGGCACACACTGCCCTACAGCCAGCTCAGACCCAACCAAGGCTGCCAAGCCAGTGATCAGAGCTGGTTAGGCAAGGGGGGACATGGCCAAGGTGACCACAGGAGGCTTGAACTCCTCACACCTGAGCAGCCCAGCATCCACCAAGACCTTCTGATACCAGCTGACCTTCTGCCTCAGTAAAAAAAAGCAACTGGCTTTTCTGAAAAACTTTCTCTATCAAAAAAAAGGAGAGCTGGAAAGTAGCTCTAAGCCACGAGATGCATTTTATACTTCAGATACTTGCACTGCATTCAAATATATCCACCCAGACTTGACACTTCATTTTGAGAAAGTCAGCTACTGCACGGGGCACAGACTGGTGTGCACTGGCCTGTGTCCTCAGCTGGATAGATCAATGTTAAATGAGCTGGGCCTGCCTTTTCCCTGGCTGATGCTTGAATCTCTAAACTCCTGTTAAACCAAATGCTTTAAATTTGCTAAATCAGAGCGTCAGATGAGCACACGATGCTTGCTTCATATGTCACCATGCATACACTAGAGTCCTACATGTGATTAAATGAGATGTTTATATATAAGCTTCAACAGAGTAAAAAAAAATGCTAAAATTCTGTATTTTTAAAGGAAGACATATGAGAGCAAAACAGAAAAACTTCGGAACAAATCAAACATATATTCTTTGTCACTTTAGCAAACCCTGCTGCTTTATTCATGAGCTGGAGCCATGACAGGGAGCAAACACAGACACACACTCACCTAACTTGTTGGAGTCAGAATTCTTTTTGCAGTTTTAAATTGCAGATGATGTTTAAGGACGTCAGAGTGAGCAGCAGGAGACCTGCACAGCAATCTTTGTCAGCTTTGTGATCAGTGGATCTCCCCAGCAGCTGCTACTGGGTTGTTTAATTGCCCAAATTTATAGAAAGGGTCTTGTCAATCAAGGCAGATCCTTACTTGAACTACTCAAGGCGTCAAAGTCATTGACTGTAAAGCAAGGCTCCCCTTTCCAACAGCGATTATCTTCAAGGGAATTATTGTTTTTGTAGGTTATTGTTTCATAACATCAGCCCTGAAACAAAAGGAGCATCTCAGTGAGTGAAATTATGAGCATGCACTGGGGCAAAATGGATCTTCTTTTCCACAGTGGAATATCAACACCTTTGTGAGGGGATTGGAGGTTGGCTCTGAAATCATTGCCCTCCTAATTAACAAGCCCTGAGTAAACATCCTCAAGAGAGACTTTTTGGATATTTGTGCGAAAAAACACCTGGATTTTTGCCAGTTGTATTAGACCCTTTTTATTTGATTGCTCTGTACAAGCAAGGGCAAGGAATACAGGGAGGAGGTGTGAGTTGCAAGGAAAGCAAGTGTTCTGTTGATGAGCCAGGCAGCTGTCACACAGGTGAGCCCCACTGTGAAAGGAAATTTAGAAATTGTGTCCACTGCCTGCACCATGCAAACACAGTTTTCAGCTATTCACAGGACAGAGAGCAGCCGAGGAACCTTGGTTCCCTGAGGAACTTGCTGGTCAGAGAGTTCATGAAGGATGAGTGGGAGAGAAGAGCAGCCACAAGCTCACGGAACGACCTGGGGAAGGTCACCTCCCTTCCTTTCCATCGTGGCTGGACGGTGATTTCCCAGCAGTGGTGGCTCCAGTACCCAGGCACGTCCAGAAAAGGCAGGGCAAGTGTCAGGGATTATGCACCCCTCGGGATGATGCTGCTAAAAGTGGCCACAACAGTACAACCCAGCCCTGAGAAGAGAAAACATAGAGGAAACCTTGATTCAAATAAAATCCATCCTACAATGTTTCAGAGTGGAAAAAAAAAGATTTTAAAAAACCCAGCAACAACCAATCCAAACAGCATCTGTTGATGTCCAGAACATGCATCTCATCAAATATGAACCAGTAATTACTATGAGTTCATTAATTTACCTTACAATTATCCAATACATGCTTCTGGTGAGTTGTATTCAGGCTTTTTGTAGTTTAAGCTGTGGAAACCAGCAAATAGACACTGAGGAAATGGGATATTGAACCATCCAGGGCCAAACAAGGTACATCACTTAGGTGCTCTCCCTTTTTCAGGATGAATAACCCATGGCTCAAGATCTTTGTTCCACTTCCAAGGTCAACAGTCCACACTTGGTGCAGCAGCAGGGCTCACACTCATGCTCACACCCCCTGGGAAGCCCAGAGCATTTGCTCTACTTCACTGCTCAGCTGGAGCAGCCACACAAGCTGGTGTGTAAAAGGCTGGTTATTCACCCTCACGATTTGCCTTTTCTGCTTAAATTAGGAAACAGTGATTGGGAGAAGTGAAAGAGGGAAGAAATTGTCTGAAACACAGAAGAGCAGAAGACATTCAGTGCTGTTGCCATATTGCCATCATGACATGGAAACAACTGCTTCAGAAAATTAATTCACTTAACTAAAAAACAAAAAAAAAACCACCACCACCACCACAACAACAACAAAACAAAAAAAAACCCAAACCAAACAAACAAAACAACAACAAAAAAAAAGGAACAGAATTTTAACTAAAAATTTGTAAGCTGTCCTGAAGTCAGGAGGGAGGGGATGTTTAAAATCTGTCCCAGTACTCTCACTCATTGTTATTCAGGGTCTCACTCACAGTAAAGGATTCCAGCTTCAAGTGAAGAGTGATCAGGTGGGACATTGGAGGAGGAATACTGAATGGAGGTGTTGTAAATGTCTCCATAGATGAGATCACCAGACACGTCCTGGACACCTTTTTCCCCCATTGAAACCAATTGGGAAAAGCATGAGATTCTAAGACAAATTATATCACAGGGAGATTAAGAGGAACAGCCAAAGTCTTGTTACTGATCTAAAACTATCAGCAACTTTCCACCGAAAAAACCCTTAACTACTTTTCCATAATTTTCCCTGACCAAAAATAAAGCTAGAAAATAAACTTTTAAAAGCTTTTTAAAAATATGCTGTTTAAATGTTCCTGACTTGCAGAGGAAGCAGGTAAAAGGGAAAATATTAAGCTAAAGTTCCCTTTATTTTATTCTGGAAATGTGCCAGCAAAAATCAGCCCAAGATTAGAGACAGGTACAGGAAATAGATGCCAGATGGCAGATGAACCAGCTTTGACAGATCCCTCTTCTTCTATGGATTAGAAAACCAGGTGCTGGACTTTTTGTGTAATTTAGTTTAGTTTCGGTGACTTCAGCTAACTAATATTCTGTTCTCTTGTCTCCATCTGTACTGAACAGTCTTATAAAGTAAAACAAAAGTGGAATTGCAGACTCTCATTTTATCTTTAGAATATACTGTCTCTTTGTGGAACAGACACCAATTGCTGAAGGACTGTCAGGTGAAAAGCTTGAGTGTTGGCTTTTTCCCACACAGAGTTTTGCTGGCTTACTGATTTGTGATTTTGGTGGGGGTTTTTTTTATTTAAATTAGTTAATAAATATACCACTAGGATTTCAAATTGGACTGGTCATGAGAAAGGAGCTGAGATGTGCTATTTAATGGGACAGACCAAGGGAAATAAAAGTGTTGAGTGGCTGCACATAGTAAGTACTGCAGCAAAAGACATAGGCAGTGACAGGCCAAAAAGAACCTGGTAACCATTCAGGCAAGCAAAGACAGTGACTGGACAGGAGATGCTTAATGCACTGCACACAAGAGAGATTGGGAAGGGTGGGTGCTAGTTCAGAAGTAAGACAGAAGGAAAAATGGATGAGGAAATGAGGTGCTATGGGTTGGCTGGCCAAACTCACAGAAGTCTGCATCCGAGAGAGGTTAGAATTCAGATTAGAACAGAGTGAGTCATGAAACTATCAGGTAGGAGGTGAAGCTATGTGTGTTAGATGTAATTTGATGAACTCACTGAAAAAATTAGCACCAGAATCACTTTTCCCTATACAAGCTAACATTAGACTTTTTTTAAAAAGGTTGTTTACTCTTTGCCAGTAGTTTGGGGAAAAAAAAAAGATAACCCTTATGTCCTGAAAACAGCATTTCAAACAAGTACATTATGATTCTTTAATCCATCCCCACAGCAGCTGCACGTTTGTCTTGGAGTGTGACTTTCTGTCGTTTGCTCCATTTCTAAAGAATGCAAAGAATTGGTTTGCAAAGGGACAGACAAAGTAGGTTTAACCTTGAGAGGGCATGGCTGATCTGTAAATGAAAATCAAAGGAAGCGAGTAAAGCTCATCAAAAAGCTCTGATAGAAATACTGCCAAGTGCAGGCACAGAAAGCACAATGCGGCCGTCAGGAAATGTGTTCTCGGGTGGTAACTAGATAAATGTGGACTCTCCCTGCTAACAATGGGACACAGTCCTGGCTGAAGGTCTCAGGCACACAAAGCCACTTCTACTTTAAAAGACTTTCTGCTCATTTCGCTTCCTGAGCTTAACACAACACGAACTGGCACCGGCTGAATGAGCATTAGGGTGAGAAGAATGTAGTCAGGAAAGAGGATTTTTTGAGGCTGCCGTGGCAGTAAATCACACCACACTGAGTACTTAGGGGAATGACCCATCTTAGAGAGGAGATAAATGTTTCTTTCAGCTTGTGGGGGTACCTGTGTTCTGAACGGCAGAACGGCCCAATGGACACACCTGTAAAATCCAGCTCAGGAAATCTGAAGTGCTGTGAAATAGCTCTGCACCACCAGCAGCAATATCACAGCTGCTCCAGCACGACTGCCTTACTGGCATGGCTGTTATAAGAGAAATGTCAGACACTATTCGTCTCCTCCTTCCCCATCAGACCTGGAAAGTGAAGTCTCAGGGTGAGGCTTAACAGTAACAAAAAACACTAATCCATAGTTTGCTTGAGGCACATCTAGCCCGGTGAGATAACTCTATTCTGCTAAAAAAGGCCTGTAGCTATGATGGATTCAATCCAGAAGAGAACTAATGAAGCTTCTACAGCCACTAGAAGAGCTGAAGCTTCTAAAAATTGGTAGTGAGAATCTCTAACATACAGGTATTGCACCCAAAACAAGCTAATTCCAATAAAGATGAATCCATAGCAGAACTGCAGGTTCAATTCAGAACCTGATCATAACCTGATTTTATACAATATGGACAAAGACTCTGTATTATAGACTGGACACTTCTATTAAAATCCCATTTTTACATGTTTATATAGAGAGGACCTCAGAAAAACTAATTTCTCAAACCTTAAACTCTGAGCAAAATGCTTTGAAAGTAAAGATCAGAAAGAAAAGTATAAAAGCAAATAGGAAATAAAGAGACTCTGTGGTCAAGAAAAGGACATCTTTTGTTTAAAGCAAAATGCATCCTGACCTAATGGTGAAGGATAGCAACAATTTAAAATAAAAAACATGATACTGATGCCTGTCCCAGTCTGAGTAGTCCAAATGTTGATTGTGGAGTCATAGTCTACAGAAGCAGGAAGTTACATGTTGTAAGGATTAAGAACTGCTTAAGACACATTTATCAAAGACTGACTGCCAGAAAGAATTTACTTGCAGGAGGGACATTCTTGGGGAGTTCCCCAAAGATTTAGGAGTTGTGATATATACAACGATAAGGGGAACAAAAACCAGAAAAACACATATCTGGAATGGATGAGGAGGAGAGTAAAGGCACAACTCCAAGCCTAGGCTGAGAAACTCCTTTCTCATGGTCCTCAGGAAAGTAAAGAGACTCCCTTCTTAAGGCTACCATTTCTTTGCACCGGAAAGGTGTATTTGTCAAGCACACCTCCCAGTAATAAGGAATAAAACACCACTAATTAAGGGAGAATTGGATTGCTTTCTTTGTTTTGCCAATGCCAAACACATTATAGGATCAGAGCTTGGGATAAACTGTCAGTTTAAAATCAAAGATTAAAA